CTTAGGTCCATTGATTATCAAGTGATCATTGAATGTCGATGAATCTCGTTAATACCCTCTATCTCCCTCAAGTGCCACCAATCACCATGATCCAACATAACAATCCATATCTTAAGATCCACAAATGACGATCAAACTGTTCCATTTGAAGAATTTTTTTTTTTTTTCATGTTTTTATGAAATTTATGCTAGTTGTTACATCGGTTTAACTGGTTGTTGTGTAAGCCATATAAACAACAGAGAAGGAACAATGTTGATTAAAACAAGAAAACAAAATTGCTTCTATTTTGCATGTTTTTTACCTATGTTTTGCTTATGTTTTTTTTATTACAACTTTTCAAATATTTCTAGTGTACTGATAGTTGGTACTCGAAAAGTTAAAACTATTAAAAGACACTAAAAAGGTTAACTTGGTGTTGATGTAATAAAATACAAAACGTATTGATGATTTAAACAAAATGCCGATTGTGTTATTTATTGGTCAAACATATAATTTCAGACATTTCGAAAGTATTATATTTGTGAAGTTTATCAATAGTAAAAACGTTAGTCAGAAATAAAGTCAAAAAAGTATATATCTTTAATTTTAAAAGATATGGCCTATAATTTTTACTTAATTTTCTGCTTATGTAATAAAACTAAAAAAATAATATATATATCTTCCACATCCGAATAGTCATTTCGAATTGCATGCCTTCAAAAATCGACGTTTGATCAATTGCACCCGTTTGATCAATTGCACCTTCAATTGCAATTCTTTTGCTGGTTTGAACGAAATCGGCGGTACGAAAGTTGTAACCCCTGTCACTTGCCAGGTTGTAGGCATCCGTCTACGACCCCGTAACCAAATATATATATATATAAAAGTTAAAGTTCATTAACAAATTGAATTTTTTAAAAGTAGAATAAAACAAATTTACAAACATACCGTCCAATATATGAAAAACATGGGCTGATAGTCTTGATATAAATACGGATAAAACTATATAATAATCAAAATTTAAAGTATTAGTCATAATTTATACATACATAGTATATTTTTTGAATAAATGAAAATGTATGATTGTTTTGATTAGAAATCTAACCTGCCAACCAGCCTCTATACTGTTGACATCGTCCAGATCTGTCCGAGGCTAAACTCTTCATCTACTTCAACATGTGCATGCCAAACATTCATTGTGGCTTCTGTTCCGTAGATCTTTGGGGGGCTGTTGTTCATTCTACCGATTGCATACTATGTTTTTCCAAAAATATTACACGTATGTTATCAAATGCATATCATAATCTTTATATGATTTTCATTGGGTTAGACAATATTAAATGTCATTTCGCTGTTTAAAAAACAAAAATTGGTTTACTGATAATAAATTGTATTTAACATTCATACCAAAAAAAAAAAAATTGTAAAGAACTAAAAATGACAACAATTTTTTACACAAATGGCCGGCCCATCCAATAATTAAACTTCGTTGTTAAGCCCAACAAAAGTAAAAATCCACCAGTCTAGTCTGTTGGAGTTTATTAGTTAAGCCCACAAAATTTAAATATATAACTTATGTAAAATTGGCAAAAATAACATTAAAAAAAATCATAATCTAAAATCTAACCAAAAACTCTACATCAATTTTGCCACATACTCCCATTTTACTTATTTTTTAATTAACTTTTTTTTTTGATTATTCATGCAATTAACCTTTATATAATTGGGTTAGACTTTTCGTTGATAAATAACTTGCGACCGAATTGGTCAATTAAGGTAGCGCTTTTTTATTAACGTTTGGTTGATAAAAAAAAAACTTATATAATTAGGTTAAAACTGAAAAGGAAACTGGGCCCAAAAAGAAGGAAACTGGGCCTTCGGGTTATTGCACATTTTTCTTACAATCTCGATTCTCAATAAAATACCGTTTATGAACAAAAATAAAGAATTCATATAATCGATTTTAAAGTATCTTTAAAATGTTCATTTCTAAATATTTAACTAATAATAATGGTTTTAAAAAACAAAACAAAATTAAGTTTATCAGATTTGGTTCAAAAAAACAAAAAAATAGAAAGTACCTCATGTTGTTTTGTGACTATGTTCGCGGCGTTAGAACCTGTAGTCTCGTTCTGACGGCGGATCAACAGTCGAATCGAATGGAACCGTCGGGACATCTGGTTCTATTCCGATGTCACACCTGCCAACCGACGTTTTTTGTACCATGTATGGTGATGTCGGTGGTTCATGTGTTATCATTTACACACAAAACAATTTTTTTTTTTGTTTTGAAATACACATGAACCACCGACGTAGTATTTCTTTTTAAAACTAGTAGTATTTTTGGCGATTTGGAAATCACAAGATATTTTTTATAAAAAAGTCATAATAACAGAGGAGAGACAACAATATCGATAAAAAACAAATTT